TCATTAACACACCACAATACAAATGAAAGGGACTCAATTGGTGAGGACAACCGCGGTCCAGTGATTTAACATCAGGGTACTGTTTCGTCCCCCCCCCCCTCTCCCTGGGTCACTCATCTTTCTCTTAACCCCTGTCTGGTGCTTTTCACATCGCTCATTCACTCTTGTTCTGTCCTACATACTTCAATTTAATGCCACGCTTCAACTCATGCAGCTAGTTCAATGTCAAGAGTTCAGCCGCTGCTCTCCAATGCTCTGTTAACTTCCTGGAACTCATAAAAAAAAACTATTTGATAAACCAGACAATATGACCACACTGTCCTACCTACACCTACATTAGAGTAGTATAGTAAAACCATGTTTTATGGACATTATATAATATGTACTGAGTGATATAAATTAACAATGTGCTATAGGGTTAGGATTGGGGTTTGTTTAGGATTAGTTGCTAGTAATAATAATAAAATAATGCTATTAGTAGTACTGTAAGTTAATGTAACATGTAACAGGGACACTGTAAAATACAGTGTTACCCAGTTTTCTTTGAAGTACTTTTACTAAAAAAGTATCATAGTTATACCATGTTTAGGATATTGAAATTCCATGGTTTCATCATAGTAAATCTATGGTATTGTATCTTGAAGCATGTTATATTATTACTAATGCCATTGTAATATGATTTTGTGAAAATTTACCATGGTAACACTATGGTAATGCTATATTTTTGGACATCACTGTATACTTTAAAGTATTTGGCATTACCATGGTAGCACAAATTTAGAAGTAATAACACAAAAATGTGGTTAACAGGGATTAGACGGTAAACGTAAAACTGCAGTATATTCGAAATACATCATGATACTATACCGAAATTTATGTGAAATTCATGCAATGCCATCACTGTACCATATTTACTACCACCGTATTTTTCGTAAGAGTCTAAATACTATGGGAATACCATTATTTTTGTTCTACATTCATTATTGTATTCTTTAAACTCTGGTCTGTAAGATTTTTTAAATGTTTATGAAAGACATCTCTTATGTTCACCAAGGCTGCATTTATTTGATCAAAAAGTATATATATATACACACTTGAAATAGAAATCTTTGGTAACATTATAGATGTCTTCTTTACTTCAAATTAAAAAGTATATAGGAATAGAGACATTCAAAATGTCTACTCAGTCCTATACTCACATTCTCTAAAGACCAGCAAAAGCTCATACGTCACTTTCATAAGTGCAAATGATTAATTGTCAGTTTCTATTGATTGTAAGTGAAAAACTGCTGATAAGGGGCATGATGCTTGCTTGCATAAGCCATGAGGAACTACATTACTCTGTGTGATGAAGGCAGTGCAACATGGGCAACATGACAGGATGTGATGCGTTCAGCAGCCCTGCAGTCCTGTAACCTCCTTGTGTCTTGGTCTCTTAAGTTAAATCCTGCTGTCTGCTAGTTAGAATTGACAGCGACACCTCAGCTGTCATCCATGAACGAATGATGACGCACCTGGGTAGCCAACTGGAGATCAGGTGAAATCTGCCCTGACACTGTTAGCTTTGGGGAGAATCTAATGTCAGAATAGTTATAAGGGCATACCTGAAAGGATTTATATATGAGGACAGCACATGAACACACCACACAAAAAATGCAAGATTTTAATTTACTAAATAATTATAATTGAAAACAGTCATTGTTCTAACAATTGTCTATTTATATTAACTACATTTTTTTATAGCAAAGAGTTTTATGCAAATTGTTTGCATTTTCATGAATTTCAAATAGTGAGTGGGACTGAACCACAAAACCATTTTGTAGTCTGTCTTTTTGAATTCAGAATATAGAATATATTCAGCTCACCTGCTGTGCTTGCTAGCTCAAATAAAAAATATGTATTATCAAAACTTCTAATACATGTATATTTTAACAAAAGGTGCTTTGAGATGCATTGTTCCTGAAAGTTGCAAGTTGTTAGAACTTCAGAGTATAATAATAAAAAAAAGTTAATGTTTTGTTTAGGGCTGGTAAGCGATTAAAAATTTTAATCTAATTAATTACATGATGTGGCGATTAATTAATCTACTTAATCGCACATTCATTCTGGCTGAGAAATTACTCTCAAAAGATAATTTAAAATTAAAAGATAATTTAAACAGACATTACAAAAAGTCGCTTCAGGAAGAAATATTTTGTTTGATAAAATTTGTTACATATTCTATTTTGGACCATGAGGGTGAGTAAATGATGACACAATTGTCATTTTTGGGTGGGTGAACAATACCTTTAATAATTTATTTTATTAATTTTATTATTATTACTATGGAAATATTAAATTATTTCTTTAATGAAATTATACTCTAAATAAGAAACTAAAACTGCCAGTAGGTGGTGGTAAATGTCTTAATTATTAAGTCATCGAGTGATTTATTCATTCATTTGATTTGTCCAAATGGCTAATTCATTCAGGAATGAAGTAAATGGTTCTTTAGGAATGGTTCATTGTCTCTTCAAATCCAACGCGCCTATGGCCAATGGTTCAACGTGCCAAATGGTTCACTCAATTAGTTCAAAACGTGCAGTAAGAAATGAAATGTCGCTGTGTGTTGCTCGGAGACGAACAGTTCTGCTTTGTCTTTATATTTTCGTTGGCAAAATTGAGCAAAACAGACAACATTGTGTCTAAACTAACACAATATTAACTTCTTACTTACTGAACTGTTGTATAAGATCAGTATCGCATTTGCACTCGTGTGATATTGCACTTATTGCTCGTGTGATATTGCTTAACTATATGATGTAAATATGAGACAAAAACTCAAACAGGGGCATTTTTGCAGGTGATTGGCAGGCAAGGTTAAAAAATAAGAGGCATTCATTTACATTTAATTTATTTATTTGGCAGACACTTTTATCCAAAGTGACTTGCATGTCATTCACGGTATACTTTTTATTAGTCATGTACTCCCTGGGAATCAAACCCATGACCTTGGTGTGGCTTATGTTTTGATGAATTGTGCATGCTTATACAAGAATATGCATTATAAAGCTAAATTTAGACTTTAAAAAAGAGAGTGATTAGAAGTTGCTATGTTAGTTTGCACATACACTGAGCTAATGAGAATGAACATGAGATAGTGTCTGTTTGGCTGACACAACAGAGACAAAAGACAAAGATAAATGAAGATAAAGTATTTTAAACACCAGGAAACCAAGAGTCACACTAGAATTTTCCACACTTTGAGCCACTGCAGTACAAAGCAAACTTCATTCTAAGACGCTCCACGCAGTATTTGTTTCACCTTCTCTGTCGTGTGCCAATTTAAGCCCTCAAGACTATCAGAGCAGCAAATAAAAGGCACCTTGCAGGCGAGAACTAAACAAACTGAGTTTGGAATTAAAGGCCCCAGCTTCCAGTCTAAACTCAATCAGATTCCCTTCCCTCTCTCTCACTGAGGCAAAGGCACCCTAAATTAAACTGGATGGAATCAATGTTCACTGAACTAGAGACAAAGAAAAAGGGGCTTGAACTTGATGACCTCTTCATTATGATTTGAATATGAGTAACTTAAGAACATAAATTACGTTAAAATGTACTACGGTTGCAAAATTCTAGGAATTTTCAAGACTGGAAACTTTCCATGAGAATTAACGGGAATTAATGGGAATAAACTGGAAATTTGCTAAATTGCAGGAACTGGAAACTTAAATGTAGTTGAGAAGAAATCTTGCAGCATAATCTTGGTTAAAACAACCAGATTTAAGGCAATTTCAGTTTAATTTCTACCCTACACACTGCTCAATCACATGCATACAGCACACTGCTTAGTGCAGGGCTATTGAGGCCACACCCCCCACATGCACTGTGTTAGAACTTCTTTCCTCCATAACATGAACAGATCATTTCTTAAATCCTGCACACAAAATATCAAAATGTCCATCTTGTAAATTACATGAATAATACAAAAAAATATGTTTAAAACTTCATTGTGCTATGTGTAATATACTGTGCAACTAAAATAGGCTATACCATTGTAAAAACAAATACACTGACTGAACAAACATTTAGGTGAGATAATAATAAAACAGGAGTCTAAAAATGACCCTCCCCCACACACAATCCCCTCTAGTCACCTCAGAGGGAGATTTCCCCCCCCCCCACAAAACTCTAAAAAAATTTTTTAATTTGTATTAGTTTGCATGCATGTGAGCCTATGATCAAACAAAATGTTTATATTTATGTTTGTATATGATAGTTTTATAAATTTCCCCAAATTTCCAATTAATTCCCATAAATTCCCAAAATTTCCCGTAAATTCCCATAAATTCCCAGTTAGTTTCAAACTTGGAATATTTCCAAAATTCCCCAGACGAAGTTCCCATAGAAAGTTTCCGGAAAATTTCAAACCTTCAAAACCAAAAATTTCTAAACCCAAATAAAATAAAATCAAACCTTAAGTAGCATGTATGCATGCAACGTGCCTTACGTTTGCATGTAAAACAAAAGTCCAAAAGTCTGGAGTCAGTTTTTTATATTTATTTATTATTATTTATTATTATGTTTTCAACTGCTGAAAAATTCTGCTTTGCCATTACAGGATTTTTTTTTTGTATTCAGTGTAAGTATTCAAATAGATTTTTTATTTGTAATATTTCACAATATTACTGTTTTTACTGTATTTTTGATCAAATATATGCAGCCTTGGTAAAGATAAAAACATTATTACTTCTATCAAAAACATTAAAAAATCTTACAGACCCCAAACTTTTTAAATACTTAGAATGGCTATTATTGCTGACCGGTGTTATAGGATAAGCTTCACAAAATTTCTTAAGAACTCTAGAACATGAAATGGTCATATTTTAACCTAAAATCAGAATAAAAAAAATACATTCCAGTAAAAAAAAAAAAATTGGAGTGAAATGTGACCAGGACATGTCTTTGTGAGTTTCACCCTAAACCAAATATCCTCGTCAGGCTGACAAACTATTACTCACCTCCAAGAAACTGCATGCCCCCCGCTGCACGTCCGATGGTTCTGGAGATGAGTTCTGATATGCAGCAGCCCATGACCGCGGTGAGCGCCACCAGCAGCAGCAGGCCACATCCAACCCCCGTCACGACTGTACAGATCCGCCACTCCACGCTCGGGATACCCTGAAAGCTTGCATAGCGCCCGCACTGCTCCAGCATGATTGTAGCCTGCCTCTCTTCATCCCGAACGGGGTACGAGCACCGCCGGAAAGTACCGAAGGACACTGGCTTATCCATTTGTGAGCCCAGCAGCCAGTAGGGCATGAAGAACCCCACGCAGGAAGCTGCTGCGCTCAGCAGGGACACCAGAGCCCAGATCATCCCCGTACACGTGAGGCTGGATGCCATTCTGGAGAAATGTCTTTAAATATTGGCCACAATTCCAGAAGAAAGCTTGGAAAAGAGGAAATCAGACACACACAAAAAAATCAAAATCAAAATAATGATTCCTTTTGCCTTGTTGGAAAGAGGATGTCTAGCTCCATACAGTCTTCACCATTGTTCTGTGTGCAGTCACCTGAGAAGAAGCAATAAAACAGTCCCCTCAGTCTTCACAGTACAGATTCACAATTCCTGTTATATATGCAACAGCATTCATATACACCAGTCAAAAGTCTGGGGTCAGTAAAATTTGTATTTATTTATTTATTAAATTAATTAATTAATACTTTTATTCAGCAAGAATGCATTAAATTGATCAAAAGTTACAGTAACATTTTTAATTTGACAAAAAAATTATATTTCAAATAAATTATGCTCTTTTGAACTTTCTAGTAATCAAAGAATCCTGAAAGTCATAGTTTATTGTAATCGGCACAGCTGATTTATACAAACAGCCCCCAAACTTCTGAACAATAGTGCACTTTTTAAGTTTAGATTATGTGCCCAAATGTATCTGGCCACTTAATTTTATAATTTTACTGCACATTTTCTTTCTTATAGTGTTAGTGATCAGTTGTGCATTTCAATATGATATGAAAATATATTAATCAAAGTTTTATAACATTAACTAATGATGTCAAGCTTCTGAAGTTTAATTTAATGTTTGTTATATTGTTAATTAAAGTTGCCACCTAACTTTTTTCATATAAGGCTGAGTGTGGAGTCTAACATCTAATATTTACACAGAATATTACAGGTGGTTACTAGCAAAGAAAAAGAAAACAAAAAGAAAATAAAAAAAGAAAATGGCTAAAAAAGTTTCATGTGGTAACATCTACATTCAACGATTTTATTAAAGTATTTGATATGACTAAACGAATCTGAATACAGTAAGTCAAATAGAAACTCAATTTAAGGGTCGGAACTCCTTATGGTAACAATTGCACATTTTCACTTTTCACTGCATGAATCTCTTATTAATAAGACATAATATGCATGATATATCAGCTGTGCTCATACAGCATATGTGCATTTATATTTTAGGATGTTAAGAATTATTATATAATGTAATCATAGGTATTAATAATATGAATCTAAATTACTATGAAGTCTCAAACGTCTAATATTTACAGAAGATAAAGGGGGAAAAAATCCTACAAAGCTCAACAGACTGATCTTCTATTATTAGTGCCACTTCATGACAGTCCTATTATAAACAGCTGCCATGCAAAAGACGCCATCATGCAAACCATAAATATTCATAAAAACATCGTATGTGATAACTTACATAGATATATTCTGACTGGTGTGTTAATTTCAAATTCCGGTCCAGCTTCGTGGGACCGTGGAGAAGAAATAAACTTTGTCCGCTGAACGGAGCGCAACTCGCGGTACGCGCCCAGAAAACATGCATTACATTCCTTACATGGATTCTGCTGAGATCTGCTTGTGTCTTTCTGTTTATTTCACTGTCACTCCTGCAGGAAAGCGCTAAAATAATCCCAGTGTATTTCAGAAGACACAAGAAATATTGAGCTGTGTCCGTGTCCACGCACTGAGCGCTGTGTGGCAGCAGACAGACTACACGAGTCCGAAGCGCGCTCGCTTGCGCTTGGCTCACTCACTCGAGGCTCCTCCCACAGCCCCTGCTGCCTTTCAATCAGCGGGGCTAGTTGTCACACTTTTTACTCCAGTGTATATTTCACAGAGTAAAATTATTTTAAAATCAGTTTCTGTACAGACACGTAAAGTTTTTACTACAAAAAAAAAAAAGAAAAAAAAAAAGATCATATATGCCTAGGGGAAAAAGATGCAGTTCATTTACCATACATGCACGCTTTTCAGTGACTACCTGGGTTAAAAAAGAAATAACAATAAAAATAAGAATAAAAACTAAAGACAGAAAGAAAAAAAGAAAAGAAAATAAATAGTCCACTTAAAGCAAGGGTTCATGGACCCCCAGGGGCCACAAGGGAGTAATAGGGGGTAAATAGAAAAGTTTAATGAAGAAAACGTAAAAAAGTTAAATCAAATAAGTAATAAATTAAGTTAATAATATTGAACTAACTTTAATAAGATTAAACTAACTAAATATACTAAACCAACCAACTAATTTTAAATAATAAATAATACAACTAAAATAGTGAGTAAAAAAAATATTAAAAAAACATGATAATGTAATGTAATAAAAATAAACAATAAATATCATGTAATTAAACGTAAGAAACTACATTATTTTTCAAATGATATTTTACACATATTTACATATATACATTTTTCAGATAGAAATTAAAATAAATTCTCTAAATTAGGACTTGACTAATGAGTGCAAAATAAGCCATTGACTAAAAAGCAGCTTAGGGAGAGTTGTGATAGGGCTGAAAGGATGGAGGAGCATGTGTAAAGCTCAAGAGATGCTGGTGCAAAGTGGTGCATGCTGGAGGAGTGACCACAGCTGTGAATAATTCACAAAGGCTTCACATCCAGACACACCACAGAGAGCGTAACCCTGTTACTCACCTCCTTTCTCCATTTAATCCCTCTGAAGAGAAATGGGCTGAAATTCAATTGTTTTTGCCCTCTTGGGTGCAATATCTGTAGTTGTTGTGATTATTCATTGTCAAGGTAACTCCCCTTTTCCCTCTGGCAAGGTGAAGGTCAAGGCACTGGTTTAAAGTGATTTGTTGCATTTTAACAGCATTTATAGGTGCCATTGGTTGGGGAATTAAATTGACAGCAAGTTGTGTCACCTCAAAAGACCACTGTTTTGATTGTGTTTGTGAACTTAAGAGTTCAGGTGGTTAAATCCCCCCGAAAAAAAAAACTGGTCTGCCAGATCTTTTTTTTTTTTTTTTTGACGTTTGAGACCTTCTGTTGACTTTTACTGCTTACATCTATTTTTTTGTTTGACGTTTGAGACCTTCTGTTGACTTTTACTGCTTACAACTACTTTTTTGTTTGACGTTTGAGACCTTCTGTTGACTTTTACTGCTTACAACTACTTTTTTGTTTGACGTTTGAGACCTTCTGTTGACTTTTACTGCTTACAACTACTTTTTTGTTTGACGTTTGAGACCTTCTGTTGACTTTTACTGCTTACATCTACTTTTTTTTTTTTTTATATTGAGCAAATGTTTCTCCTAACTCTAAGCCTCGAATCTTTCTGCATTTCTACTTTTTCATTAAGATATTATTTTTCCTCATAAGAATCATTAGCTTCTCCCCACAATGTAGGCAATTTCAGGTTTTATCTTTATGGGGACAATATTAGCCTATCTTTATGCACATTATTTGGTCCCTGCATGTATGCAAAAGCTGACCCACATACTTAAGCATTTATACGGTATCTAACTAAATGAGGATTTATTAATTATAATAATTAATAATAATATTTGTAATAATAATAATATTTATATTAATATATAATATAATTATCATATTATTATATTATATATAAATAGCCTATATTTATAGTCTACGTTTATTTTATAAGATATGTTTTATTCAAATACATCAAAATGCTTAAAACATTATTGGTCTATGTAGAACATTAGAACATGAAACATTTCACTTCAATGACACCCTCAAAGGGTGACACCGTAATTTCTGGAGATTTTAGTTTTTTGCGCAAACGTCAACAGCTCGAGGCGCGGAACTAATGTGTCGACCTCTTGTTGTTGCAGTGGGACGTTTTTCTGGTTACTCAAAACAGCTTCCTGGAGGTTGACGTGGATGTTGATGATGGCAGAGACTAAAGAAGAGCTGTCAATTGATGCTTCAAACCTTCACACCTCTAACAGCAGCGGGAATGCGTCCTCACAGCCCAACAACCCTCTATCCAGAAAACTCAACAAGATCCTGGGGACCAGGCTGGATAATGACAAGGTTTGTGACAGTCTGTTCGCATTTGCTAACTTCTTAGATCGCAGTGCACCTGTCACTACAAATTGTTTGCACGTAATTAATAATAATAAAACAATAAATTAAAATAAACATAATTTCCGAGTCTCTAATTTAAACATTAAATTGCACATACACTTAATTTTTCATTAAAATGTTTTGCCATGATGTGTCTCTGATTCAAACATGGATGATAAAACTGTCCTCAATTAGAGAAAGGATAAGTGCCAAAATGTACCATGATATTATATATTATTAAAAACAATGGTACACGGTAAATAATATTTCAGTAGCGTGGTGTTCTGCATGTCAAACCCTTACAGAAAAGTACATTTGTACACCGTTATGTTATAACATGGTAAATCTTCAGGGTTTGGACAAAGTAATATGAACACTAATTATTGTAAGAGTGAATATAGTTTGTGTAGGTTATAGTGAAAAAAACAAATGTTTCAATTTTTTTTTTTATTAACTTCTAACATAAAACCATGTCTGCATTTGTCATCGGAGAAATGACAAACAACAAGCGCTACTGTACATTGCTCAAAACTTGCATTTGAATTGTCAGTGGCAAATCCTTTAAATATGAAAACTTACAGTCTGTGAGTCAGAACAGCCGGCATTGTAGTCTACTCTCCCAGGATCAGGAAACAGTCCTCCATAAATTGTGCTGCACACATCTGAATATTTGGGTTGAACTGTTCTGGAACAATGTTGTAAATACAACTTAACCACTGATTTCTAGTCGTGTCCTCTTTTGGAAGACCAAACAAAGTAGTTTCGCTTTCACAACAAAACACACAGTGTCACACACGGGCTAGAGTGAGGAACAGCCAGCGAGCTGAGTGAGCGGCGGCCTTGAGAATGGTGTGGCCGGCGGCCTTGAGAATGGCGTGGCCGGCGGGCTTGCGGCAACCACATGTGACGACCCCAGGCTGGACTCTGCTTCGTCCACGGTGAAAGCCGATCCGGCGATCCACAGCGCGAAGTTGATGTATTTCCTCAGCGACCAGCACGGATCAGCTCCAGGCATGACGAAGCGGATATCGTCCTCTTTTGGAAGGCCAAACAAAGTAGTTTCGCTTTCACAACGAATCACAAAGCGCCTTCACGACATGGCAGCAGCAACAATACTACAGCGAGAAAAAAAGTTACGCCTTTCTTTGCGTGAACATTTGGGCGGCGTTATGCAAATCTTCCCACATCGTGAAGTAGGGTTGTGCGATATTGAAGAAAAATGTGATATGCGATAACTCATTAAATACTATAACTATCTTGTGTCATATATATAGATATGGTTATTTGTATGTATGTATGTACCAAGAGTTCCTGTAAAACCACAACAAATTCCATGTGTTTGCGCACACGTAAGTGGTGAATAAAGCTCATTCTGATTCTGATAAGAAAGCACCCCTACAACAAATTCTGAAAGTGAACGATATGTACTTCTTTATGCACCAAGAGCTTGTAACACTTCAAAGAGAAAGGAAAAATTGAAATCGCATCATATGACCCTTTTAAGAATGCAATTAAGACTATGTACACAAACCTTGGCAAGACTTCATCATTAGTGAAGCACATAGACTGTAGCATAGTGGGCGAAAAGTAAACAACGTGGATGAACATACTTAAATTCTTGTACTAGGTATTTATATGGTACTCCAAGGTACTAAAATAAAGAATACTATGGTACTACCATGTTTCATGTCTGAAAAATATTTTTAGTTTGTTTTGTTTTGTTTTTTTTAATACGTGGAGAAGCATGGTATTATGATGTTTTTTTTAGACATGGTACAATGGTAATGTCATGTGGGTTTTTTTCAAACATAAATCATGGTGCCATATAATGTAGCCTATGGCAAGGGTCAGTAGGGTTTATTTTTTCTTATGTTTCTTGAGCATCAGATCAGCATATTAGAATGATTTCTGAAGGGTCATATGACACTGTGGACTGGAGTAATGACCGCTGAAAATTCAGCTTTGCCATCACAAGAATAAATTAAAATTTAAACTATAATAAAATAGAAAACAGTTATTTAAAATTGAAATAATGTTTCATGGCATTATTGTTTTTACTGTATCTTTGATGGGATAAATGCAGCTTAAGAGACTTCTTTCAAAACCATTAAAAGAATCTTATCAGCTTTTGAGCATTAGTCTATAACGAACAACCACAGAATTGCCATACCATCGCTGTACTGTACCATTGTACTACTATAGTACATTTATTGGCGAAGGTGTTTGCAGTAATATTATTTTGATTAGAACATGCATTATAAATTTTGTAAATGCAGTTATGTCATCTGATGTTCATAGGCAACATGCAGTTGATGAACAAGCAGCAGTTAAGATCTTGTTGCTTCACTTATTTCCTTTTTTTGTTTCTTTCTAGGAGATGCTGGAAGCGTTGAAATCTCTTTCTGTGTTTTTCACTGAGAACAGTCTGAGAACCAGGAGGAACCTCCGAGGAGACATAGAGAGACGCAGCCTTTCCATAAATGAAGAGTTTGTACGGATATTTAAAGAAGTGAAGGAGGTAAATTCACAGTGACAATTCTATACAGCAGCTCAAAAATGTATAATTAAAAAGCAGTATATATATATATGTATAATCAAAATCATCCTGTAATATTACATAACATGCCTGTGAGACTTTTTTAAATGATCAAAAACTACTGTAATATTTTGAATTCATTTACTTTTATAGTTT